TTGTCAAAAATTTATTCATTAGATCTAGTCAAAATCTGCCCCCTTTTAGTTTAAAACCATTACCCCTTGTTATACTGCAACAGCCCCTCGTTCAAAAGTCTGTCCCCGTCTTTCTTATAAGCCCCCTTTAAGTAGGGGGGGAAGACTGCAAGTCTCCTCAGCCTCCTCTTCTCCAGGCTGAACAACCCCGACTCTCTCTGTCCTCACAGGAGAGGTGTTCCATCCTTCTGAGCATTTGTGTGGCCTCCTCTGGACCCACTCCAACAGGTCCATGTCTTTCCTGTGCTGAGGGCTCCAGAGCTGGACGCAGGACTCCAGGTGGGGTCTCACCAGAGTGGAGCAGAGGGGCAGAATCACATCCCTTGACCTGCTGGCCACGCTGCTTTGGATGCAGCCCAGGACACAGTTGGCCTTCTGGGCTGTGAGTACACATTGCCTGCTCATGTCCAGCTTTTCATCCACCAGTGCCCCCACGTCCTTCTCGGCAGGGCTGCTCTCAGTGCCTTCATCCCTGGACCAGAGCCAGGTACCCATTGAGGACAGTTTGTCTGTCCTGGTTTCAGCCAGGATAGAGCTGGTTTTCTTCACAGAAGCCAGTGTGAGACTGTGTTTTGGATTTGGGATGAGAAACTGTTGATAATGTGCTGATGTTTTGGGTTGTTGCTGAGCAGTCAAGGACAGTCCAGCTTCTCGTGCTGGCCTGCTGGCAAGGAGGCTGGGGGTGCACAGGAAGCTGGGAGGGGACACAGCCGGGACAGCTGACCCAGGCTGGCCAAAGAGATATTCCCTACCATATGACGTCATGCCCAGTACATAAACTGGAGTTGGCCGGGGGGCGGAAATCGCTGCTCAGGGACGGGCTGTCGATCACTGGGTGGTGAGCAATCGCTGTATTGGGCATCACTTGTTCTTGTACATTCCTTTGTTGGTATTATCATTGTTGTTTCCTTCTTTCTTTCTGTCCTATTAAACCGTGTTTATGTCAACCCACAAGGTTTTTTTTTTTTCCCCTAATTCTCTCCCCCACCCCACTGTGGGAGGGGGAGTGAGTGAGGGGCTACGTGGTGCTTAGTTGCCGGCTGGGGCTAAACCACAACATTGTCAAACACTGTCCTCTGCCTTCAGTACAGCACATCGCTGCGCTCCCACCACCTGCTCAGCTACAAGGAGAGAGGGCTGCACCCACAGCCCCACAGGAGGAAAGTTCTGAAAGTTTTGAAACCCAGGCGTGAAGGATCCAAACGCTGCTTCACTCTGTACCTTACTTGTTAAAGCCTGACAACTTTCGCATTAGCTGCTTTAAAAAAAATTTAATTTTGCCTCCTAGACAGTGTTTTGGCAGCCTCTTACTGCATTTCTGCACAGCTCTACCTTCAAACTTGCAGAGCAGGATGAGGAAAGAAGGGCAGACAAACACACTGCAGTGCTTTCTTGTCATCATAAATATCTTTATTGTGAAAAATACCATAATTCCCACAGTTCTAGAAAAAACAGGTTTTGCTTTTATATAAAGACACTTTATAATTTGAAACATTTGATATATCTCCGGCTAGCTTTACTTATCCTTCTGAAAAAAAACCTGCTACTTTGAGATTTGCTGAGGGCAAAAAAAAAGATTCTCCCATTTATTTATTTTTTTATTTTATGGATAAATGTGTATTACAGAGCAAACAACCAATACCTTACAATAAGGCACTTTTTAATACAACTAACCTGCTATGCTATCCTGGCTGGTTACCGGCAAAGTTCCTACAAACCACAGCCCTAAACAGAAGAATAATTCTTATTCCAAACACTGGTCTGAAAACTGAAACAATAACAAGCTTTATTTTTTTATTTATTTTTACAAAAGTTTAAGCTGACGCATTTTCTGCATATGTCACAAGTTTGAGCTCTTAAATTTGTAATTCATTTTGAATCTGTTTTAATACTGATTTATTAATACATCAGTATTACGCATGTATCAAGTAAAATATGCCCCATCCCACCTTCATTTTAAAACAAGTTGGAAATGAGTTTATTAAAACTGGAAGAGAAGAATTCAGCAGAGAAAGTTTGCATCTACATATAGGCCAATTACTGTAACGATGCTTCATGCACCCCTCGGGGTTTACAAAACACCAAGACATTTATTTCAATGTTCAGTTATTGAACAGTATTGCACTACAGACACCCACTAATAAATAGAAAGAATTCCGCTCCCTCGCACATCGCTTGCACCACGCGCACTCAGCGCGTTACCAGCGTTTCCTGATGTGACCTTAGAAGATGAAGCACATCACCGTTATCTGGAAAGCCTCAAAATGTTAATGTTTTCTTTTTAAACACAGCTTTGTCTTTCTGTCTTCTCAGAAGTATCTCAGAGCACCTGCTCCCTTAAAAATAGTGCTGAGTGGTAACACTTGTAACCAGCAGCTGCTTACTCTCTGGAAGACTTACTCTCCACTGTCATTTTTGTTTCATTTTAAAGACACTGTCTTCCACAGAAGGAATCTATGAACAGCATCCATGCATTAATCATCTTCCTTCTTCTACTGACTACATTCAGGCATGTTTTTTTTTTTCCTTAATATGTAATTTTCCCTTTCCCATTCATTCTCAAAATAAACATAGTCCTTTTTGTTCCTGACTGCTTCCAGCGTACAGCAGAACTGTCCATTGCCGTAGAGTAACAAACACACACCGCTCCAACACCAGTGCCCTGTAGGGACAATCTACTTCTGAAAGACCATCTTATTCCTTCACTTCAAAAAAGAAAATTAAAAACCAGGAAACAATTTTCTCAGCTATAGCTTTTAGAAGAGAGAAGGGAGGAGTACAAAAAAAAACCCTGAAGAAGGGTAGTCCTTTAAAAGCAGATGTATCATTTCTAGCACTTCCCCAGCACACAAGCGTAGCCACCTGTGGTATTTATTGCGACTTCCTGGAACCGAGCACACCCTGTATGTACAAAGTACAACATATTGCTTACACTGCTCGTTCAATACTCGATTCGATATGATTTCAAACCAGCCCCTTCCCTAGCCAAAGGTATACAGAGCGATGGCTCGACACAAACACCCACAACCGGCAAACCCTACAGCAGCCACCCGGCCCGCAGCGAGCACAGCCGGCTCCGGCTCAGCGCGGCCACCCTGCGCAGAAGCTCCCTACCCATCTTCCCCTGGCTGGGAGCAACAAGCACATGCGCAGAGTGCCGGCTGCATTGGCTGATACTGGGGGGCAACAGCTTATTTATGGCCCAGCAAGTTCCTATGTCTGAGCCTTTGAGGTCCTACGAGAGCCACGCTAGCCCAGAACGGCGTCCTGAGCATCTTCTACTGAGCTTAAACAAAAAAAGGTGAAAAGCAGAAGTCAAACTTCCAGAAAGTTATTCAACTTGGAAAATCTCTGACACTGGAGTTTATAGTACAAAAACACCTCAGCAGCCTAATAAACTGTTAGAAATCACCACATGCGCTCTTCAGCTTGAAGATAAATTTCTGCTGAACAAACACTGACCTTTAAGTTGCTGGTGAAAAACATTTTACGCAGCCACATGGCCTCACAATTCTGTTTGCAAAGTACTTGAGGCAAGAGACAAGGGTTATGCTTCAACAGCAACTCCGATTACAGTAATAAAACCCCAACTTTCACATTTGAAGGCCTTATTTGCTAATTTAATTTGTTTTACTGAGGATGCTTATGCTTTCAAACACCATGAGTTCAAGTGAGAGCAGATTCCTATCAACTGATTATTGTTTTCCAGTTAAAATCCAATCAAGAAAACACTGATGAACTGTTAATTCTTGCATTCTAAGAAAACGGCTGCTTGCTGAAACTCATCAGTAATAACTATGTATTTGGTTACAGAATGAGAAGACTGTTCGCTGACAGCAGCTACAGTCCTGGCATTGCCACACATTGCGTTCACGCAGTTCCATCAATACCCTAAACCAATTATAGCTATGTGCGTATTGGGGAAAAAAAAAAAACTGGGCTTTTGGCTAATGGATAGTCCCTCTTTTTGTACACAGGCAGCTGTTTCTGCAGTACTGTGGCTGTTTCACAAAATATAAAGTTACTTCAAACAATTTCACATATAGTATTAACTCACTGTTGCATCACCCAGAAGAAATTAAACTGTATTACTTCAGGGAAGGCCAGAGTTAATATCGTATTCCTACAGGCCACAGTACACTCACCTCACAACCTGTATCGGTTCTCGATTTATGTACAGAGAAGTAACAAATTGATGCACAGTCGGGGAAGTGTCACATCAAATTTTTTTGCTCAAATCTCAAGCAGATATTTTGTTAAAGTGCAAACTACTCAAAAATGGTACCTAAACATTTCAAATCACACTCAAAGAGTCTTTCAAAAAACATCAGGTATATATATTATTTTTTTTTTTTTACTTTCATATTTGACAATTACCGCTAAGGAAATCATCTCAATTCATCTCAGGTTAATGAATAAAGTGAGTAGACATCTTCAATACAGTTAGTTGCAAGCGATCTTTCAGAGCGACTGTTCAGACTCGTTCAGCACGCAGCCTCTTCACCCACCCCACGGCCCCGCCGGCAGTAACACAGCAGGCGGTCACCAGGGTTTCCTGTTAAGAATACTGAGAGATGGATCATTCTGCTGAGCACAATGACTACAATTTGTTAATGTAGAGACTATTGTAACTACCCTTTTCACGTTTATTAGGCCCCGATTCAGAGAAATATTTACATGCATTTTTACCTTTAAGTATATACTTGAGTCCTAAATTTATGCTTAAGTGTTGTCCTAAAGTAGCCTCTTACTGGTGGTTTTTTTTTTTTTTTTTTTACATCCATAGGAATAAATGTGTCCTGCATATCCACAACAAATACTTAGGCAGTAACAAACCCCCCCCAACCAGTATGCGCTTGTCAAATTCACCACCAAGCAAACTCTCTGAATACTAAAAGGAAGAAGGAGCTTTCTTCTAGCGCAGTAAGACTCTGGGTTAAGGACAACGTTAGAAAATAAGATTTTGGGTCTTGAACTGAGAGACTTTTTATTTTTCAACGAATTAAAAAACAGCAGCAGCCACCAGAAACAGTCTTGGCTCTAACTGAAGTGAAATTTGAATGTAAATGGTCCTCCTCCAGAACCGAAGGGATTGAATCCTTGCCACGTGTTCCAGTTCCTGTGGAAAGGGTTGCCCCCACCCTGCTGACTCTCTGCATCCAGTGGGTCCTCTCCCGCATCAAACTTCCGCCTCATTTCTGGAGGAAACAAAACCAAGATGGAATCATGGCACAGCAGTTAGGGCAGTAACACCAAGCATCTTGGATGACCAGTAGCCAATTCAGAATCCACGCCCCCAGGCCAGAGAGCTGCAACTGTCACTTGTACTGGCAGCAGCTACATACTTTCCGAGTTTTTCAAAGCTGCCTGGGAGACTGCAGCGGAGAAGAGACTAACTCCATGAAAACACCATACGAAAAAAACTTCAAACAAGTCATTTCGTTTAAAACAAGGCAAGACAGTACCTGGCTGTCCAAAAAGACAGGTATGAATTTCAGTGGGGACAGAACAGCTGCACTTTGGCCAACTAGGTCCCACAAATAATTGGGACATTTTGTCCTTGATGAGTTTATTGGACCTGTTCTCTCACAGCTGCAGTGACTTGGGATGGCCTGAAGGCAGACCGTGCTGTATCCTGCCAGTTCTTCACAACCAATAAATTCCAATATTGATCATTCAACAGCAGCACGGAAGTCAGCATGCAGAGCCCCAAATGTTTTCAGTCTTCTCCACATACCATTCATCAGGCAGAGACTGTCTAGGGGAGAGCAGTTTGGAGGCAGAAAGCATGTTCTTTAAGCAGTTCTGTCCAGCGAGAAGAAAGCTGAAACCTTCCCAAAGACCCACAGACAAGCCACAGGCTACACCACTGCTCTATTATTCAGACCTGCATGTAACTTTCAAGCAGCCTGCAAGCACCACAAGGTTTTTGATCACCTGGCACTTTTCCAGGACACCCATTTTATCAAGGCAGGCGCTAGGGGGGAATCATGAGACTGGCTGGGGTAAGAATGTGGAAGATAACCTCAAGGTACACCACAGCCCTATGATAATAAGCTTGCAAATGAAAGCTCAGGGATTCAGAGGTCCACAGGCTTTCTAGTTTTTCTTTGTATAACCAACATGGTCACTAGAGACAGAAAATGACCTGAGAAAAAAGGTATCTGGATGAAAGGAGAGAATGTTGTCACAGTAAGGGACAGAAAGCAATACAGATAGCATTACAAAAGCCAAGTACGACCAGCGTTACTCTTCTTGCCCAGTTAGTTTGACAGGAATGGTAAACATGCCATAAAAAAACATGTCAGGGAGCTTGTCCTGGAGATGCTGACAGGGCAAACAGAATGTCAAACACTTCCAGTGTATAAATCTCCTAATTTGTGCTCATAATTATGAACAAAGATCACATTAACACAGCAACAGGTTTTCTATTAACCAGAAGTGTTAGTAATACAGTTCATCACTCTCAGATCCCCCTTTCCCTCAAGAAAGTCGGAGCCCATTTGCCTAATGATCACTTAGATGATCCTGAACAGTTGAAGATAAAAATGGGAGTCTCTGATATCTACATGGCCTCAAGTTGCGCCAGGGGAGGTTTAGATTGGATATTAGGAAAAATTTCTTCACCGAGAGAGTGGTCAGGCATTGGAACAGGCTGCCCAGGGAGGTGGTGGAGTTGCCATCTCTGGAAGTGTTCGAAAAAGGTGTGGATGTGGCACTTCAGGACATCGTTTAGGGGACATGGTGGCGCTGGATTAATGGTTGGACTTGATGATCTTGAAGGTCCTTTCCAACCTAGTGATTCTGTGATACATCTTTTATGTGCTTCTCTCTTTCCAGTGACCAGACAGAAATAGTTTAAAGACAAGAACCTAACAAATGGCTCTGCTTAGGAGGTTTTTGGTTGGGTTCGGTTGGTTTGAGTTTTTGGTGGTGTGAGTTTTTTGGGGTTTTTCGTTGTTGTTGGTTGGTTGTTTTGGTTTTTGTTGTTTTTTCAAAAAAGGATGTGAGATAACCATGCCCATTTTTTATTACATTCTCAGGACTAAATGGTCCAACCCCTTTCTGTTCATCTCTTGGTAAAAGAGACACCAGATCTCCCAGTCACCAAACCACAGGGTGGGCGAGAACAGTGACAGCATTCTTTTTCCCCCCCCTCCCCAAGAGATGACCAGCAGGCAGACAGACCTGACAGGGCTCCTTGCTCCTACGGACTGGGCTGGCCCCAGGAGCCTGGCCACAGACAGCAGTGGGGGCATCCTCTCCCTCACACCGACAGGAGCCAGAGAACCTTCCCCGCCCTCGGGGAAGTGCTCTGTTTGCAGAGCATCTGTTTGCACAATGCATCTAGGCTTGGATACACACAATAAGGGACAATTTTGAGAGCTTCTCTGGAACACTTCAGGTGCTGTTAAGATCTAAATGTAGTCTGCAGTAGAACTTCAGGCAGGAGGAGACATGCACATCCTTAAAGTTAGCATCTCCAGAGTTAATCAATCCTGGAAATCTCTGCAAGATGATATCCTAAGAAGAGACCTTTGAAATAATGAATTTTTATTTGACTTGAAACAAAAGGCACTGAAACACAATGAATAATTCCAGGTATACATCTGACTTCATGCAAGTGAAGATGGAGAAGGGGAGAAGGGGAAGGGCAAGCTGTGATGCTTGCTATGACTTACAGTTGCTGCACTTTTACATTACTGTGAAGTAGTAATTAAAAAAAAAGTCACTGCATAAGAATAATCATTACCTGGGTCAGTAAGGACTTCTTTAGCAGCTGCTATATCTATGAATTTTTTCTCTGCTTTCTTCTTTTCTTCCTCACTCTGGAAGTTATCAGGGTGCCACTGGGATGCCAGCTTTCTGTAAGCTTTTATGATTTCTTGCTTTCGAGCATTTCTGATGGATAAAATTACAGATAACTTAAAATTTTCTAATTGTTCATATGCTGCAGTAGTGAATCTACAGGTTTATTTTAAACACTGAGACAGTAATTAAGGGCATCAGGAAAATCATGAGTTAGTTAAGCTTCTGCAGGTGGCACTGAAGATTCTTTATGTAAAGAACAGAGGAAGCAGGTTGCA